GTGGCACCCCCTGGATGGAATGCAAGCTGCCTGGGTGCTGTCCCAACATGCAGGCAGCACCTGCTGGATTCAGCTCTTCCCTGAGCCTGCAGAGAGACCAGTACCCAGCAGGCTTCCAGTTCATGAATTTGGGGAAGATTTGGATCTAGTAGGTGCTACCTGTGAGCTGGGGCAGCACCCATGCAGCTAGCACCCAGCCTGGGCAGCACTGTGGGGTGCCACCACCATAGAGAGAAGGACAGGCCCCCTGAAGTTCAGGGGCTGCAAGGCCTGGTGGCAGCTCACACAGGCAGTCTCTGGTGAGAAAAGAAATAAAACCGGTGAGGGGCCTGATCCTTTTTTTTTTTACCCATGAAGCCTGCCCACCTCTCCCATGGCCAGGGCTGAGCTGCCAGCAGGCCCTGAGCTGTGGGGGGCCACATACCTTTCCTCCATGGTGGTGTCACCCTCTGGGGCCACCAGAGTGTGTGGCTAGTGGGTGGGCCCTGACCCAGTTTGAATCCAACTGTTCCCTGAGTCTGAGTTGGGGCAGCACCTGCCCACTAGCAGCCTGCCCTGGCAACCCCAGGGGGCACTGCCACCATGGAAGGAAGGACTGGGGCCTTCTGCGGCTCAGGGGCCACTCGGCCCACTAGCAGCTCACCCCACAGCCATGGGAGATGTGGGCAGGCTCCACAAATAAAAACAAAAAAAAACAATTGGGCCCCTCACCACTTTTGCCTTCAGCCCACCTCTCCTGCAGTGGGAAGGGGGTCAGCTGTCAAAGGTCACAACATTACAAATAGTTACATTGCAAACTAAACTACAAGTGGATATGGTTTAATTTGAAACTACATCCAAATGTAGTTTAGTTTGCAACATAGCAAACTCATTTAAATCATAAAAAAACCCTGCATGTGTACAGCATGATGCAATTAAAGTGCAAAAACAGACATTTTTGTCACATGCACAAGTTCCCAAAGTTTTCATCATTTTGTCCCTTCTTAATTTTCTTTTCTGATCCTTCCCCAGAGGGTAATGGCCCACTGACTATGAAAATTATTTAGAGAAATTCCCAAAGTTCAATCTATTTTAACAAAGTGCTATCCCTAGACTTCTATACATAAGCTGTTTAATACCAAATAGTAGACAAACAGGTGTTAGGACTGGGGATAAGAATACAAGAAGCAACTGGAAGGCTTAGACGTAGAGAAAATTATAGGTTATTTTGTATGCAACTATTTTCACTGTGTAGTTTCCTATATCTCATCTAAGAACTATTTAGAACTTGTATTTTTGTAGTATGGGCATTCTGGTACTTTTTTTTTTTCTTTTTAGTCTGAATTGAATTTTTAAAAGGAAAAATGAAATTTTCTCCAGAACAAAATTCTAACATTTTCAAAAAGGCAAAGTAATATTTTGCTTCAAATTCAGCAATAGATTTCCATATGTAAGGCTGAATTTGTTTGAAACATTTAATTTAGGCTTCATTTGCTGGATTTTAAAGCATAATATAATATGCAATGTTATGACAATAAAAATTGAAGTAATGCATTAAGAAAAATATAATGTAATCCTCTAAAGGATTATATTTTTCTTAATTCATTAATGCATACAACTTACTTGCTTAATGCATTACTTTTTCTTAATGCACATCTCAAAAAGGATATGGAAGAACTTTGCATTACTAAAAACACATTTTTATAAGTTTTCACTGAACATACAGTACAGTCAATACGTTCCCTTTGTAACTTCCAATTTAATCAAAATTAAAATCAGCATTTTCCAATGGAAAATCATTACATTAGAAAAAATTCCATCAACTTGGTCTTCTCTAGTGTCCCAGTGTTCTCTAGTGGTCCATATCACTGTATATTTTTTTACTTGTAACACCCTAACTGCCCTTCATAGGGCCATGGGTGTTCTTTTTCTGTACTATGCCAACAAGTAGCAGGCTTTTAAAATATATAGATGTTGTATAATGTAGTGACAGTCATTCTTTCAGTAGTCAACTCAACATAGTAAACTGGAGATATGTGGGCTGGATAAAATTACTGTAAGATGAATACATAATTAGCTCAATGATCTCAAGCAAAAAGTAATTATAAATCCCAGGAGGTTGCAAGTGTGGTTCCACAGGGATCTGTTCTAGGTCTGGTGCTGTTAAACACATTTATTAATTATTTGGATGCCAGAATAATAAGCTCCCTGATCAGATTTTCAGATGACAAACTCTGGAAGGATTGCAAACACTGGAACACAGAAATCAAACTCAAAAGAGTCTCAGAATGCTGAGGTAGAACCTACAGAACAATGTGCAACACAGGCAGATGTAGTGCTACATATAGAGAAGAACAGCCAAACATGCAAGTACAGAATGGGAAATGACTGACTGGGTAGGAACACTGATAAGAAGGATCTGGGAGTTTTGGTGGATCCTGAATCAGCAATTTTATACAGTTGCAAAAAAAGCAAATGCAACATTGTGAAATTACACATTACACTTAGCTCATACTAAATCTATCGTGTTACATCTGTAATTACAGCTCATACTGTAGATGTGCCCAGTGCTAAAGTTAGAACACACTGGGCACATCTACACATGCATTAATATACTGCAGTTTCTGCACATTAAGTTTAGCACTGGTGAACATTTTTACATGTACACTGGGATTGGTGGGGTAGGTATGGCACTTTAAGTACAGCAGCTCCGAGAGCTCTGAGAGCTGCTCTAATTAAAGCGCACAAGAGTGTCTCATGCTTCGGCAATCCCAAACTTCAAAATGGCAGTGGGGGTGCTTTATTGAAAGCTTGTCAAACGAGCTTTAGATAAAGTGCCTCCACTGCCATTTTGAAGCACAGGGATCCTGATAGAAGAAACGAGAGCTGGCTGGAGTGCGGTAATTACCACGCTTCAGCAGATTCAGTTAATTGAGTCTGCTCCAGTGCTCTGTAATTACAGCACATTGGAGCAGCCACTGGGCTCCTGTACAGGCACCTTGTAATAACAGGCACTAACTCAATGCACAGTACCCTGTACTATTCTGCAGTTGCACCGGCACATGCATTTTAGTGATGCCAATAGCATGGCTTTTGCCATGATGTGCTAATATGTGCAGTAGAATTTGTCTACTGCACATTTAGTGGCTCATGTAGATGCACCAACTGTGAGCAGTTACATGTTAAGGGTTTCTACTGTTTCTTGCCTGAACAGTTCTGATTTGCCACTCATGGACTGATGAGCAGGGGCATGACTGGGAACCAGGACACCTGAGCTCTATCATTGCTCTGCAGAGGGGAGGGGCTGTGAGTGGTGTGTCCTAGATTTCTGGAGGATTCATAATTGCTGATTTTGTCTGTCTGGAGCAGACTACAGTTACTGTAACACAAGTGCATGGCGTGGCCTGTAGTTAACCCTTTCCTGAAGTGGTGTAGCTTTGAAACACTAAGAGGACACTTAGCATGAGTTAACAAGCTTTAATGGGCTCATGTTTTAATTGTTCTTAATAGAGTCTAAGTATAATGTGTAACTTCACCTTAAGAGATGAAGGTGATAGCACCATGCTACTCATTATTGATTAGGGTTCATTTAAAGTACTGTGTGCAGTTTGGGGCTTCAAATTTAAAGGAGTGAAGAAGTTGCAGAGAGTCCATAGTCATATCACCATAAATAAAGGGGTTGGAAGTCAAACCATATTAATTAAAGGGTTGATAGAGCTAGATATATTTAGCTTGGAGAAGAGGAGATTGGCGAGGGAGCAAGGGGCAGTCCTTGATATTATAGCAGTTGCCAAGATATTTGAAAGCCAAAGAAGAAAATTAAAAACTGTTCTCACTTGTCATTGGCAGCAGGGAACAGATCAACAGTTGTAAATTGTAGCCAAGTACTTTTAGATTAGACCTTGGTAAAAAAAAACCCTTACTATTAGAAGAGTAAGGGAGTAAAATAAACTGCTGAGCAGAGTTTGTAGGATATCCTTCACTGAAGGTTTTCAAGAGAAGGCTGGATACCATTTGACTGACATGCTTTAGAAATAGCAGTCCTACATTCATACAAAGGAGTGGATTGAATTATTCTTAAAGTCCCTTCTAACCCTATGATTTCATGATTCTGGAGTATAGGGTTTTGAAGTTATGCATATGGTAAGTTTCCGCTTAAATATAGAGCAAGTTGCAGCTTTCTCTATATTTAAGACCAAATTTACCCTTGGATTAATTTACTGAAGTCATATTAAGGAGGGCTAAATTTGACACAGTGGACCAAATCCTACTTCACCTATTACGTGCCTAAGTGAATTTAAGTGCTTAAATGGGGCCCCATTTCACCCTGCCTGGGTCACTGTCAACCCCTTAATATAAAAGGTGGAAAATGAAATTATTAATACAGAAGTCTTTTCGCTGCTTTTTATGATTTTGCCTTTTTATGACTTTTTATGATGTAGACAACAACATATCACAAAATAAATCACACAATGGATTATTGAGAATTTGAATGAGGTGGATTAGGAACACACTTAGGTGTCTGTGTCCATTTATATGTCTACTAGGTGGACTAGGATCTGACACTTAGGCACTTATCATAGAATCATAGAATATTAAGGTTAGAAGTGACCTCAGGAAGTCATCTAGTCCAACCCCCTGCTCAAAGCAGGACCATCCTTAACTATACCATCCCAGACAATGCTTTGTCTACCCAGGTCCTAAACACTGCCAAGGATGGAGAGTTCACAACCTGTCTGGATAACCTGTTACAGATAGAAAGTGGAATAGCATATGGTCTGATGAATTATACATTTTCATTTCTTTTAATGGTGGATGGATTACATAAAGTGTGTTTCTTCTCCAGATATAACCCTTTTCCAGTTAAATATTGGATAGTGTGTATGATATCATTTTCCTTTGTCTTTGGTTAGGGTCTAGAAATCATATTTTTGTATTTACCCTTTGGTGAAGAATTCTTGACGGTGCCTGCCTGCAACAAACTATACTTCTTTATTTCCACTATTCTCTCTCTTCTCCAGGGTGGGTGCTAGTCTACAGTTCTCCTGTGAAGATAATTATGTGCTCCAAGGTTCTAAGAGCATCACTTGTCAGAGAGTGACAGATACGCTGGCAGCTTGGAGTGACCACAGGCCAATCTGTCGTGGTAAGTACTAATTTTTACTAATGTCTACAAGGGTATGGCATAATTCCTTCTGGGAAAAGTAATTGAACATTGTAGTAAAGGTAGAACAAGTTATAGGTATCTGTATATGTTCAAAATCTGTCAACCACTCAGGAACATTTGCTTTTGACCATCCTTGCCAGAAAAAAACAAAACTATAGTTTGTTCTGTAGCAATACGGAGTATTAAAAGCTTTTTGTCCTCTAATATTAACAGCAGATCTACAAGTTTAGAAAGGGTGGTACAGTCAGGATTGGGTCCTTGCATTATTCAGATTTGGTCCTTGGTCTCCATGGCTGGTATCACTACTTGTCTGGCTTGGGAAGTGTAGTCAGGCAGCCTGGCTATGGTAAGATTGGCCTCTCACCTGGATAGGCAGCCTGTCATGCCTGATGAGTCAGTTTGAGTGCCCAATCCTGCTAGTGTCTGGATGCCTGGTCCCTCCTTCCAAGCTAGGGAAGGCAGATAGCACTGCCTATTAGCGTGAGAAGATGGGCCAGGCAGCCAAATTAGGATTTGGTTCTCAGCTGACTCTAGGGGTATTATGGCAGGGGTGGGCAAAATATGACCTGCAGGCCAGATCCGGCCAACCAAGTAATTCTTTCTGGTCTACAGTAGGTCTTTAAGCCTCACCCAGCCCAGGTATGAAGGGCATCCCAGGCTGTGGTGCATGTGGAAGGTGGAGGGGGGGTAGCACAGCATCTAGACTCAGCTTATGGTAGCCTTGGGGGTGGCAGCTCCTTCCAGCTCCTGCTGCCAGTGCCACCACTGCCTCTGGATGCAGCCCCACTGTCAAAGCACCAGATGGAGCACAGAGATGGGCAGGTGGGATCTCTGTGGAAGGGCCCTTCTTTTGAAGATGAGCTACTGCCCCTTACATATAATATTCATTGGATAAAATGGCTGGAAGGTAATGAGAAATTTCTGTCCCATTAGGAGCAAGGTTTCAGACTAGAACTTGGGGGATGCAGGGGTGGTACTGATCCAGTGCAGCAGGGGGAGGAGAGGTGCTGACCCAGCTTTGGCATGACAGGTTATGGGGGGAGTGGTGCTGACCCAGCCTTGCTGACCCAATTGATCCTATCTGGCCTGGGTCTGTCCACACCCTACAGGGAACTGGATAATTTCACTGGTTGAAGGAGTTTTAAAATTGGAGTGTCTCACTGCCTGGGTAAATGCCTGAATCGCTCGACCTTTGGGGGTAAAACATGAGAGGTTCCTTGTCCATTCTTTTATTTTCAGGACTTATGCTTAGGTGCATGTGTATATAACTCTTGGTCAGTGCATAGCTAACTGTGTGTTTTCATTGGTTATGTGGATGTTGTACATCCACACTGCAAGTATAACAGCATTATACATTGAGTTTGTTCTGGAGAATTTTTTCCAGAACAAAATTCCAAAATTTTCAAAAAGACAAAGTCATATTTTGCTTCAAATTGAGCAGTGCATTTCCATTTGTAAGTCTGAATTTGTTTGAAACATTTCATTTAGGCTTTAATAATTGGATTGCAAAAATGCAGATTTTGTGGCTGTGAAGATTTATGTATTTTCTCCCATACACAGTGAAGTATAATATGCAACTTGTTTTGGAAAAGCAAGATGAAGAAAAAAGATATTTCTTTGTAGTAAGTAATGGAGTAGTAGGAACTAAGGAGCTAAGCCTGCTCATTTTCTGATCCCTGTGGATTGCTCCATAACTCATATATTTTTTGCACCCAATAAGCAGCAGAATATGCTCTTACCATATTCCTCACTTATAAATAAAATTCAATTTTCCAGCAGCTGGTTTTTGGTGAAGGGTTCATATTGTATCTGAGAAAATATGGTATGGTAAATACCATTTGGGCATGGACATGAATGTTATACAACTTGACTGCCCAATTCTCTTCAGTCCTAGATACCTATATAGTCTCAAAATAATTGTCTCTCAGATCTTCAGTGAGTCAGTTTGATCAGTGAGTTTATCTACACAACAGCCATAAGAGAAAGGGGAGTAGTTATTCCCCATACAGATAGAGAGCTCTGCCTAGGACAGGAAGTTATTGGCCCAAGGTCATAAAAGAAGATTCTGGGAGAGCAGGGAATGTATCTGATTCCTCTGAGTCTCAGACCGTAAACACTGGACCATTTTTCCTTTTACTGAAGTTGAAAATTTCATTTGTATATTCAGTATGTGAATGTGGGGTGCATCTAGAAACTTAAAATTAAGTCATTAACATTACATAGTTAACACTTATAGTAAAATTTAAATTATAGTTTTCTTTCTGGAATCTAATATTGGCTTAAAAATAAAACAAACAATAGGAAATAATGACAACTCCAACATATCTGTATGATTATTTTGTACTTCAGACAAGGATAAATTATAGAGGTGGACCGACACATCAGTCCAATATCAGAACAGCACTGATATAAAGAAAATTGTTTGTATCAGAAATCAGCCTGATGTGGCCAATCATTTGGCTGACAAATGCCTGTCCAGGTGCACAGCTGCCACACAGCATGCAGGCAGTGAGAATCACAGCCCAACAGCTTGGAGAGATGCATGCAACTGGTAAATCTGTTGTGATGGAAGGGGAGGGTGGAGGGAAGGAGCATAGGGGCAGCTCAGTGCCCCCTTTGGTGAGGGAGGGAGTGGGGCTGGGGCTGGCACTGCCTAGCTGGGGAGGGGCAGGACAAAGCCATGGCTCATCCAGGGGACATGGGGAGGAGGGGTGCTCCCATCGCTGCGCGCACCATGGGAGGGCATGGCAGGGGTGTCTGCCCCTGGATCTGAGTGTGGGGGATGGGGGGAGCTGCAGCTGTGAATTGGGGCCGGGGCTGTGCCAGCCTCTTCCTGGCATGTGGGGGGAAGGGTTGGGCCGGGGCTGCTCTAGGGGCAGGCAGCAGTGGCACTGGGAGGGAGACTACAGGGGGGGCTTTGGCAAAATTTGGGATGGCTGCAGCCCCCCCATAGCCCCTTTCCAGTGCCACCACCACCATCCCCAAGCACAGCCTGACCCAACCCCACCCCCGTGCACCAGGAAGAGCCCAGTGCAGCCCTGGCCCCAGCCCCAGCACACAGCTGCAGCCCCTCCCACCCCTCCCGTTCAGATACAGGGGCACATGCCTCACCCCTCCATGCCCTCCTGAAGTGCGCTCAGCAGCGGGAGCTGTCCCCTCTTCCCTGCACCCCCTGGATGAGCCACGGCTCTGTCCTGTGCCCCACCTCACCCCGGCTGGGCAGTGCCTGCCTCAGCCCCAGCCCCAGCCCCACTCCTCCCTTACCACAGGGGCCTTGATCTGCTCCTCCCCCCATGCCCCTTTCCTCCCGCCTCCCCTTCCACCACAACAGACTGACTAGCTGGATGAAGCTGTATTGGAAATTGGATCATTATCAGCTGATATGCTTCCTTAAAAATCACCTATCAGTATCAGTCCCCAAAATCTCTATTGGTGATAATTAATAAATTTTATTAATAATAATATTCCCGAGCCAAAGATAGATATGCAAACTGATGGAGAACAGAAATGTTTGTTTTTCTTTAAATGTTTTGCATTTCCTGAGCAGACAATAAATTTACTGTCCTTTAATTAATGAGCACATGTTCAGATAAAGCCATTTCTCATGCTTTCTGTCATTAATGAGAACAGGTTCAGATAAAGCCATTTCTCATGCTTTCTGTAATCTTTGTTGTGTGAATTGAGTCATTTTCTGCAAATGCAGTTTTCTTTGAAGTTCCTGGCTTAAAAATGTGTTAGTATAGTTATAGCTATTATATTCTGTGTAACCATGTAATTTGGTTTTATGTATGTATGGAGACTGAACGTGACAAAGAAATGTCATTCAGAACCTGAACAGTTTGAATTACTTAAATGCCTTCCTTATAATCAGAGCTAAGATTCCCCTAAACCCTGTTCTTTTTCCTCAGTCTGATTTTCATTCCCTTTGGACACATGGAACAAATCATGGAAGGAGCTGCACTCCCAATATCCATTGATTTCAGTTATCAAATACCCTAATGGGAGTTGTGAGATTATAACACTTTTTGTGACCAGGCTGTAATATTTCTAACAACTTAACGTTACAGACTTTAACAATAATACTTTGTCAATGGACATTACTATACATCCCCTACAAATACGCATGCCCACAATCCTAAACCTGTTACCTGAATTCATAATTTTATAGAGAACAGCTAGTAGACAGGAGATTGCTTTTGTAGGGGGATGGGGAGGATGGGAGAGGAAACAGAAAATCTTAAGAATGTTTATGAGAAAATTGTAAGAACATATTTCAATAAAAAGATACATTTCTGGGGCAGCTAATAAAACTTTCTAATATTAAACTATTCATAGAACAGAATGACTAAGTTTATTTGTGAATAAGCATGTGGCTTTCTATGTGTTTTCAATTTATGGATAGTAATGCATCCAGACCAGAAATCTCTTACTGAACATTAGGCATTTTCTTCAGTTGTCCAGGCCTGGGACTGTGCTGTGAACACATGCAAGCATTCACTAAGTTGGGTTAACTCTTTATCAGTCTAAAGTTAGTTTTCCTCTCAGGTGAATTAACTGAGCGCAGGTTCAGGGGTGACCTGATGGCCACCTACAAGTTTATAAGGGGTGACCACCAGTATCTGGAGGAACATTTGTTCACCAGGGCGCCCCAAGGGATGACGAGGTCGAAGAGTTATAAACTACTGCAAGACCATTTCAGGCTGGACATAAGGAAGAATTTCTTTCCTGTCTGAGCCCCCAAGGTCTGGAATAGCCTGCCATCGGAGGTGGTTCAAGCACCTACATTGAACACCTTAAAGAGAAATTTGGATGCTTATCTTGCTGGGATCCTATGACCTCAGCTGACTTCCTGCCCCTTGGGCAGGGGGCTGGACTCAATGATCTTCCGAGGTCCCTTCCAGCCCTAATGTCTATGAAATCTATGAAACTTTAGATCAGGCATGCCATTTTTAAGGCAACCTAAGCCCTGTGAATGTTTT